ATTCACTACTGTAACCATCAAGAAACATAACTACAAATTTCTTAATACAGTACAGAATCTGACTGATATTTAATACTCAACATCTAGTACAGTACTTTACTTATTTTACTCTTCCAAAGCCTTTTCCAACTAAATAAAGGGTGGCCAGAAAACAGACCAAATACTTGACATTAATACATAAAATCATCGAAACTTTTCAAACTATGTTTAAGTCATGAGACAAATAACAAAAACAGCAAAACTGCATTGTTTGTCTCACTAATTATTCCATAATAAAAATGCAGTGCAATAAAGGTCTTAAAAATAGACATATCTGCATATAAGAGAACCAAGTATGCAGTGATGTGATCTAAGCATTTAAACCATAGATATCAAGCAACAGCAGCAAAGAACAACCGCATAGAAAACAACAGGCATAAAGAAATGTAAAGTCTGTAGTCTTGGGGAAAAAAAATGTGCAGCCAAAATGAACAAATGTTGGTGCTGGTAAACCCTTAATGTCACTCTCAACTCCAGCAAACTACAAGTAATTAATACTTTCAGTTAGGTATCATTACATTTGCCATCACTCTTAACCCATGGAAACTACACATTTACTGATTATTATTTAATTTTTTTGTAGTAAACGTTGTAAATTTTATGATCTCCAGAAACTACAATTACAGTACCTGTACTATGTGCCTTTTGTTATTAAATCCTAAATACCACTCCTTGAACACCACAGCATATGTTTTTGAGTGCACTCTGAAATAAAGCACTACTCACGCTCACTACCGAGATCTGGCAACTACATTTACAAAGTGCTTTTTGTGATAAAATACTTGTATCATTTCTGCTACAGCTACTATGAGCACAAAGTGTAAACCTAATATAAAGTGCTACCGTTACATTTTTTACACGGACAGTGATTTCTACTAATGTACATTATGTACTTTTCTGATTACTGTATCTAATTCAACAACACAATACTGTACATCATTACATGAATGAAGTTCTCCAATAAAATACAATACAATATTACAGATTAGAAAAATTCCAGCAACGTGTAACTCTCAACGTCCTATTTACCAACTTCAAATTTATACAATCGCTGCTCAGTGGTTGTGAACTTGCCTAGACCTGTTGAATGCCTGCGCCACATTAGTTTCCCGGATAAATCAGATGCAACACTTGGAACCTGAAGATGAGTACCATAATTTGGACCCATCGGGGGATGCAGTGGGTGTGCCGGAGATGGCGTGCTGTTCGATCGATTTCGGGCAACCTCCGGCACAGAATCGGTGGGCATGGGACCAGTATTGGACCGTCTTATCCCACTTGACAAGAGGTCCATAAAGCCTTGTATGCATGCAGAGCCCAGTCAAATATTAGCTTTAGTGTTTTTTAATCTTGTGAGACAACAATACAATAGTCAATTCTCCAATTCAGTTGAGGTTTGATTCTAAATATTACGTCTTAACTTCAAATTTACAGATAAATAAAACCCAATTTACTGATCACATGTAATCTATTGGGTAGTAAACTAAAAGAAGTCTTGTTAACTATAACAGTCAATGAGTCTTTTAGTATTATCCTCTTAGAATTAAATACTGTTTTAATAATAATGATAATAATAAAAATTAGTATCTTATTCAACATCAAAGTTTCCTGAAAAACCTGTAGGTAATTTCTGCTCTCACAAATCTCTACAAATCAGGCTGTTAATATTCTCTTAAGATACCCAATTGTATAAAAAAAAAATGTAGGTGCTGAACAGTTGTGAAAACATCAGAGATAACAAAATTGTGAAATAGAACAAAATGAAGTTCCATATTCAGAAATTGGGCCAATGAAAAACATTATCCGATTATCTTAAAAAAAATAAATAAATGCATAAAAATAAAATAAATCATGCTGCTGGTACACATGCCAGGGTATGTATACTGTACATGCAAAAGCTTTGAAGCAGCCATCACTAACTTTATAACAAAGGGGCCAGATTCTCAAAGATACGGAAGCAATTTTCTTTCTCCTAATTACGGATCAGACAACGCATCTGGATACAGTAGTTTTAGTATAAATTCAAAACCATTTTGGTCACTATACTGCTAAAGTGAACTAGTTAGATGCGTTCTCATATCTCTGTTCAGGAGAAATAATTATTGTGAAAATTTTCAAGAATTCGGTCCCAGGTCCACTATAAAAGTAATTCATTGTTGAACAAACTGATCCATGTTGCACATGTGAGAGTTATCAAAGAAAAACTGTATCATACACCTGTAAGGCAATCCACAACCAAAATTCAATGCTTGAACACAATGCCTTGAAAATTGTAACCATATGAAAAAATAAAGTTTTGTTAAAAGTTTGAAACACTATGGAAGTTTTAATTGTAATAAAAAGTGATTATCAGTATCAGTAAAACCTTTTAATGATGCCACAGTAAATAAGCTAGAAACTAATGAATTTAATGGAAGACTGCACATGTTGAAATCACAGAAACACTACATGGTAAAAAAATGACAGCAAGAAGTACAGTACAGTACTGCAAACCATCTTTCATTAGTGTATAGATACATTAGATAATTTTACAAAATTTATGATGCAAAAAGGTCATCATTTGTAAATTGAACTGTGTAAAAATACAGTTGAGTCTGGATTTACACGGTTTTTGTTTACGCGTTTGGTCATTTACCGTGCCTTGCCAGAATGAAATGCTTTAATTACGCTCAAATTTGGTCATTTACGCGGGTGAAGTATAATTTTTTTATTTACTGAAGATATTTGTTTTAGCTCATAAAATTCAAACAAATTACCCAGCCAGAATATAATTTACATTGCTGGAATTCTTATAAGATTGTGATTATTCTAAATATAAATATCATGGAATTTGCATTAGACATACACATTTTAGATCTAATGTAACAATTTTCATTAGAAAGAGCCAAAATTTTATCTTTTATGCAAAATATATGACGTTTATATTCAAAATATTCCTGGTCCTGCAAGGAATCCAGCAATGTCAATTATATTATCCTAACTTTAGTCTGAGGTATTATTTATTACTAAACATGTAGGCCTAGTGTTTTTCCCAAACATTTCTCAGAGAGGGAGGAGCCAGAGCGAGAAGAGGGGTGGGTCCATTATTTGAATGGACATTAACCGTGACTGTATTTCTCTTAAATATTAATTGTGTGTGCCCATCATAAAATTAAGATGTTATTTATACTACAACATAGGTATTGTGTCAGAAAAAGTGGAGTTTGGGGGCTCCAGTCTCTATTTCAATTAATCCCATATGTTCTGTTATTTCATTTACACGTGGTTTACGTACCAAGTGGTTCAATTGATCAAGACCCAACTGTAAATAATAAGCTAAAAGGTGCAAAAATAATATATATATATATATATATATATATATATATATATATATATATATATATATATATATATATATATATATATATATATATATATATATATATATATATATATATATATATATATATATATATATATATATATATATATATATATATATATATATATATATATATATATATATATATATATATATATATATATATATATATATATATATATATATATATATATATATATATATATAAACACACAGTAAAACCTCGATTAATCGACTTTCGGACTATCCGTCAATCCCGACCCCTCAAAAAAATATACTATATAAATGTATACATTTTTATTTTACGGGATTAGCCTACCCCGCACAGGTCACTGACCCACATCGGGCCGGGGCTATAATGCAATGATAATAATGATAATGATAATAATAATAGTAATAATGAACCATAAAGAAATGCAAAAATAAAAAAATCTAGAGGAGAAACAATGTACCTGTATGTATGTTGTGTTGTCAATAGTAAGAGAAACAATTGAGACCCTGCAATTGTGTGTAAATGAGGCAGAAAGTCAGATCAGCAACCTGGGACTTGGTCACAATTTTCGTGATGCCATATGTTCTTTGACTTATCCAATTTTTATCACGGTTTCTGTGTTGGTTCATATTTATTTACTAAAGTGGTTAATGTTTTAAAGCAAATTCTATTGAAATATGAATGGCAAATGAACAAAAATTAATAAAGGGACTTAAATGAGGTAGGTTAGGGATAGGTACTTTGAAAATGTATGTTTTATTTCCGTAGACTTTATTTACTATTAACCGATCATTTTGGATTATCCGTCGGCCCCTTCCCCCATATGTGGTCGGTTAATCGAGGTTTTATTGTGTATATATATATATATATATATATATATATATATATATATATATATATATATATATATATATATATATATATATATATATATATATATATATATATATATATATATATATATATATATATATATATATATATATATATATATATATATATATATATATATATATATATATATATATATATATATATATATATATATATATATTTATAATATGTAAACACACACACTTCTCGACTTACGACCGCCCCAGTCGTACCAAATTATTTTCAATTTACGTATTTTCGAGTCCCGAAGTTAGTGATTGCACTGTGTACTGACAAAATTTTTGTTTGTAATTCCCTTTAAAATGGCTGGCAAGCTTAAAAGTGAGAGTTTTGTGGTGCTGAGAAGAAAAAGAGACACCCATTTTAGATTTTCTATGTATTATCTTCGCATTTTCGACTTACGACCTGGATTTGGGTCCCTAACCCCGTCGTAAGTTGAGGAGTGGCTGTATATATATTAGTATGAATGTCGTATTAAAATAAAACAAAAAATAAAAGAAAAATTTATAACATTGCTAAATTCTTTAAATTTGTAAAATATTTACACGTTTAGAAATGCATCCATGCTCAGTGACTGTGCAAGCTACGACAAACAATCATAAAATAAAGGTCATAACTATACAAGTTGTTTAGGATCTAATTTGACCACGGTTTTCTGTCGGTGTCATCAATTACTTAGTGCACTAGTGCAAGATAACCCTAGTCCTGTCTTACCACCCGCTCCTTGATTTAATGGAAAAGAAATACGCCATAGCAGACAAATTAATATTCTCAGTATTTCATACACTAATTTTAGATTATAAATTTTAATAGCTTGCATATAATACACTTACAGTATTTGTATATACTACTACGATATATAAATTTTGTCCAACACCCACTTTCTCTCAAACTAAAGAAAATTATTGGTGACAACACACCTATGTACACAGTATACACAAATTTAAGCGGTACTCACTTTTGGAGGATGAATGATTGCGTCCAATTTCTGCCAAACTGCGGATTAAAGGCAGACGGGACATGTTGCCGTTCTCTTTATTAGTTTTCTGCTTCTCATAGAGATGTTTATGCTTACGTAGAAGTGCATCACGGAACTGTGGGATTCAAATTCTTGTTTATGTACGTAATCATTAAAACTGTAAAATTAACCTATTTCTCATTAAGTAGTAAATCTTATCTAAACTCTCTCCACTGTTTATGTGACAATATCAAGGGTTCAAATAAAATTATATAGATTTTGGTGGCCACATATAAGTGCACCTTAAGGAATAATTTGTATTATCTATACTCATAAATCATCATGACAATTTTGGCCATGTGTATATACATTTAAAGAAAAATTTGTATTATCTATACAGTACTTGTACTCATAAAAATTAAAGTAATGACAGTACAGGTATACAAATTTCAGGTGTTTTGAGGAAACCTATATTGTACTGTACAGTATATTCCCATAACACCTGAATTTTGTACATGTTTGAAGCTGGCATGACATCAATTTTTTGCCCAAAGACACACTATGTATGTCTTCTTTACACTACTACCATTAGTTTGTTGTAACTTGGAATCGAGTATGACGATCATCCAGCTTTGATACAGGACCAGCAAGGATGTCCACAGATGTTGCATGTGTGGAGGGCTACATGTAGTATGGGAGAGGCAGTGGTAGCATCTTTCCAGTGTTGGCACTTGTCTGCCTCAGTATGCAGTCGGGCAAATTCAAAAGTATTGACACCTTCTTGTGTGGTGCTCCTCCAAGCGTTATGGTGTGAAGTAATCGTCACCCTGGTGAGGGGGTCGATTTGGCACTTTTTCAGATTTGTCTAAGACTATCCATATACCTTTTCAGTTGCCCGCCAGCGTTACGTTTATCATTCATTAGGCGAGTGTAGAGTAGCTGCTTTGGTAGTCTACTGTCGTCCTTGCAGGTAACATGGCCAGTCCAACGTAGTTCATGGATAATGGCAGCCTCGATGCTCCTACAGTTGGTGACAGCGAAAATACTGGTATTTGTTCTCTTGTCTTCCCAATGAATTCGGAGGATGGAACGTAGAGTACGTTGGTGAAAGTTTTCAAGTGCCTTGAGGTGCCTCCTGTATGTGACCCATGTCTCACTGCCATACAGCAGGGTGGGGAGGACCATTGATCAATAAATGTGCCACTCACTAGATAATTTCAGCTCCCTACAGTTGCCAAAGGCTCGAGATGCCCATATGATCCAATGTTGAATCTCTTCATCGACATCTGCAGTGGTGGACAGGTGGGAGCCAAGATACTGAAAGTGGGTAACATTAGAGAGGGTAGTACTGATAAGCTGGATGGATGGTAGAGATTGTGGCTAAGCCAGTGGCAGGCTCTAAGAGAATTTGAGTCTTACGTACATTCACCTCATGGCCAAAGTGTGCCAATGCATCTGCATAGGTGTTTGGGATCTCCTGTAGGTCGCGTTCAGTGTGAGCGACAAGGGTGAGGTCATCTGCAGACTGAATTCAGTGATGGAAGCGGCTGACACCTTTCTTCCTGCCTGGAGTCGTCTTAGGTTGAAAAGTCCCTTCATCCAGTACTGTACTGAATGTCCACCCCACTGCCTAAATTGGCCGCCAAGAAAATGGAAGAGAGAGTTGATGCCAGTACACACCCTTGTTTTACCCCCTTTTGGATGGGGAAGAACTCAGACTGGGTACCATTGTGCAGGACACTGCCATTCATGCCATTGTGGAGTTGCCTCACAATGGGAATGAATTTTGGTGGGCAACCAAAATGACTGTGGGTCCACCAGAGGGCTTTCCTGTTGACTGAACCTAAGGCCTTGGTAAGTCGATGAAGACCATTACAGGTCACGACACTGTTTTCTGCACTTTTCCTGTACAGGTAACTCGTGTTTTACACACGTTTGATTTAAGCATTTTTGGAATAATGCAATTGTTCAATTAATACCAAGACAGTTTAAATTTATCGCTCGTATTCGCCAGGTCGCCTGGCAGTGGAGTCGCGTGTGATGCCTGGTGAGGTGCCTGAAAGTTATTACTATAAAGTTGCAGTCATATCAACATCAACAATTTTAATATTACAGTATTATTAATAATACTAATTATTATAAAAATGTAATAATAAAGATTATTACTACTAATGATGAAGATAAAGATGATAATGAAGTATTCTATACAACAACTGTGACGATGTCCAGCAAGCTTCCTGCGTATCGCTTTCTCAGTTCACACCAGCACTACTTTTTCTCTGTGCTCTCATTTGATTATGCGTTTATCACATACCTTTTCAGTGTTAAACACTGTTTCCCCATGAGCATGTCTGGAAAATGTCCATCTGCCTCCTCTGGGGCACCTAAAGCTAAAAAGGCATGAAAAACAACCGCAATAGATGTGAAATTAAATGTGATCACCCGCCTTCAGAAAGGAGTGCGTGTGTCGGAGGTTGGCCGCGTGCTTGGTTTAAGTGAGAGCACTGTTCGTACCCTGTGTGGTATATGATGGTTCCCCTAACCTGTACCATTTACATGCATTCTTAAGGGAAAATTGTGTTTAATTTATGCATTTTTGAATTAAGCGGTGGTTATCAAGAACGTAACCCCCGCGTAAAACGAGAGGTGGGTGTATCTGGTGGGAAGCAAAGATCATGTCAGTGGCGCCACGTGATGGTCTAAAGCCTCAGGAAGAAGTGTGTTTAGGAGAACTCGGTGAGAAGCGAATGGTAGTGCTCTTTCCAACACTGAGTAATTGGGCCATACAGTACATTGTTTTAGTGGAATTGTAAAATTTGTGCATCTTGTGTTGATCCACACATTGTTCCATTTCACACGATCTATTTTTCCACCATTTCTTCTTTAGACCGCAAAGTTTGCGCTGGGCCATCGCTTTCTTCTGGCAGAAGGTATCAGCTTTGGTCCAAGACAAGGGTTGTTTTGCCAGCGAGTGAAAGCAGCACATTTATCATTGATGAGTACGTCGATTTCCTGGATATTCCAATCAAACCAATCCTGGTGTTTTCTTTCGATCTGGCTGAGGGTCCCGCTGCAGGTTTTTGTGATAACAGCGTTGAGGATTCAGCACTTGGCTTTACATTGTTTGTTGTTGGGTTGTTTACCAGCCCATCATCGACCTGCTCTCTGAAAGTATGTTCCACCAGTTGACCCTCCGGTCGCTTGGTGGTAAATCCTCTTCTGGAGGCTTGTTGCCTTCTCTGTTTTGGGGCGATGATGAAGGAAGAGTTTGGCCCTGACAAGCCGATGATCTGTGTCACAGTGGTCTCGGCGATCTCTTTCTTTGACAATGACGTAGTCAATGAGATGTTAATGTTTGGATCATGGGTGCTGCCACGAACCCTTGAACTTGTTGGCCTGCCAAAACAAGGTGTTGGTGATAAATGAGGTTGTGTGCAGCATATTTGTTGTGGAGTAAGCAGTTGGGAATACACTTGCCCACTCCATTCCTCCCTATGGTTCCCTGCCATAAGTTAGTATCTCTGTCAACTCTGGCATTGAAGCCACCTAGGAGCACAATCTTATCTTCTTTGGGGATAGAGGTTAGCACTCTGTCAAGGTCGGTGCAATAGGCCTCCTTGATGTCATCCTCTGCATCCAGTGTTGGGGGGTATGCAGTGATGAAGAAGGCATGATTTGAGTAATTCAGTGTGACTCAGAGCGTTATGAGGCGCCCGTTGACCCCAACAGACATTTCAGTTAGCCTTTGTAGGATGGTTTGGTGAATGGTAAAGCCACCTCCATAAATGCGGTTTCTCTCCACGGCAGACTTACCCTTCCAGAAGAAGGTATAGCCGGACCCCCGTTCTGTGAGTCAACCCTCGTTATACATAGAGAGCTCTTTTACTTTGATCTGTGATTATGTTTTTGACAGCATTAGGATGACCTTACTGGGTGCAGTTGCCCAGTCAGGTTGGTTCTTTAGGCAGGCTATGTTTAGGGCACCTTTTCTAGCCCCTCCCCATGTGAGGTGAGCAGAGTGGCTCCTGGAAAGGGCTACTCAGCTGCACAGACGGGACCAGATCGCACTGCTGCCTAGATCTCAGTGCATAAACGGCCACCTTACCTATGCCATCCAAGTGCAGAGTTATGACTACAAACCCCCGGCAGTCATCTCTGCCTGTCCCCATCGCCACTTGTCTGTCGCCATATGACTTTTGGGAGTGTAGAGGTTGTGATGATGATGATTAAAAGTATGAAGAGCTGGATGATGGCTACGCTTGAGTCAATTAATGTGGTGAAGCAGGAGCGCAGGTTGCAACTACACATCTTGGCTCTCCCTTTTCCTGATCCAATGGTAAAGGTAGCTGCAACGACTGAGGAGAAGGAGAGTTGAAGTGGATAGCTGATAGCCCAGTTTGTTGGATTTCACCTTAACAGCCTGTCCATCATGCATTGCCTTCATTTGCCGGTGTAGTCGTTGGGTTCCCGTGTTGGTCACCTCTTCAGCCATTGGGGTCTTAAAAGTGGAGTGCCGGGAATCGAACCTGGATTATTACTAATGGCAGGCAGGCACACAGTATTGTGCCAAAATTCAACCAATGGTATAACACCGTAAATGCCAGTACAGTATAACAAATCTTGTAATCAGAGAAAAAAATCACATTCACTTCTTTAGGTGATTATATATATATATATATATATATATATATATATATATATATATATATATATATATATATATATATATATATATATATATATATATATATATATATATATATATATATATATATATATAGATTATATATATATATATCCATCCATCCATCCATCCATCCATCCATACATACATACATACATACATACATACATACATACATACATACATACATACATACATACATACATACATACATATATAGTGGTGATCCCAGTAACTATCAAGAGCAAAAACTCATGCAAGTAAATTACCTTTTCCCTGCCTTCATAAGTAAGTTGACCTTGATTGATCATATTATCCAACAGAAGATCAGATATCTGTTCCAGAGATGTAGCATCCATATCAAGAATAACAGTTCCATTAAGAAGGAAAGAACGAAGTTCAAAAAGGGAATGTAGAGATAATGTTGCTACGTGAGGTTTGGACCAACGTTCACCACCTTCTTCCACGTCTTCTTCAAACTTGACCCACCTGGAAACACAAAAGTTTCTCATATGCCATGTCAGCATACAAATAAATTTGTTATGGAATCAGTAACATTTTATATCCGAGTTAGTAGACTAAACACACTGCTGAGCTGTTGGTAGCAATATAAAACATATCACGACAACTTCAGATCAACACAGAATTTGGCATCAATAACCTATTCCTTGCATCTTGAAAATATTACTAAACCATTATCTCAAGTTCTAACTACATTATTTCCTTGAAGTTCTTTCTTGCAAGAACACAGTGGCCCAACTCAACAAAAAACTCTGTCCCTCGACATCTTTTCTTTCTAGTTCCCTTAAAAGATGTCTTCTACTATGGTGATTCCCTTCCACAATGTGGTCCAAAGATATCTAAGTGATTTACTCATCACTTCACACTTCATCCCAGTACAGTATCACATATGATATGTTTCCATCATTACCTTCTACACATCAAGTTAATTTTCAGGCAACATCCTCCATCACCCAACTATTTTCTCTGTCCTATTCATCTTGTTTGCTCTTATACATATTCTCTACAAATCTAGTTTACTCACTCAGTTGTATTGTTCCCTAAAATGAAAACTATCCTACCCTACCCTAACCAACACTACCCTGCACTAACATACCTGGCAGTTTCCTTCCACTCCATTTCTCCTCCTTCCATCTCTGTGAGGGTCTCCATCTCACTGAAGAGTGGGTGAATGTCATGAGCACCAGTGTCATCATCATCCTCACCCAGAATAAACTGCACACGTTGGCTTGGAGGAGTTACTGTAGAACAAAGAAAAGGTGTATGTAATGTAATAAAAAGTGAAAAAGCATAAATTATTGACATATACAGACACATACAACATACATTCAATTGTAATAGCAAACACTACTGAGTCATTAGAAAAAATTACAAAAAATTTTGGTGTTTAAAGTTGTTCCGAGCCCATTGCAGCTCATCTTGCAACAGTAAAATTTTATAGCATATGCAATAACACAATTTAGAATTGAAATTATTATCTAAGAATGGCAAGTTGCAAATGTACAAAATTTTCATCACAAAACTGCCACAACGAAATAATTTAAGTTATGTAATAACTGGCAGGATTCACAGTACAGTACCATGAATGTCAACGTTGGAAGATAATCCCACATTAAAAAACAGAAGTTTTAAAAATGGCTACTGACAAGATTGTGAGTACTGTACACAGAAGAAAAATAAAGGAACAATACATTATACTACACTATCATAAATTTTTACAACTGCTCGAGTAATATATTCTACTGTTGCAAATTTAGTTTTATATACTGTATCATCTAGTACCACTATACAGTACTGCATAAACCCAAAAAACGTATAATTTATTAAGTTATAAACTACAATACATAAACCATACAATGTTAGTACAGTATACTTATGTTTGATTTTATAGCATAAGCAAAAGAGACTTTCCTAAATAACTACAGAAGCCACCACTCACTTACATAGTCCTTGCATCTGTAAACCTTCATTCATTGAGAAAAAGACAGACAAGTAACAAAATCAACAAGCTTACCCATGGCAAAAAACACAGTATCAGGGGTGAACACAATGGAATTAAGTCTCATTCCAAGACAAAAACGAAATGACCAGACATTCTCTTATCTGTGTATTACTAGTTAAAAGACATAAGAGCAAAACTCTCATCACGATTTAACAGGGTTGTGGGTACTAATCCAGGCCTTGCTTTCTGTTTCTTTTTGCTTGAGAGCCGAGTTTGCCACAGCCTGTGCACATAATTACCATTTATAGCGGCCAACACAAACAAACCAAACCTAATCTAACGATCTTAGATAAAGTCTGGTTTATTCCAACTCAAACACTATAGCTCTCCTCACATGCACACAATGACCAAATCAGTCTCATGCATGCAATCTGTTTATTTTTACACAGGATATGGCATACCTGGCTCAGGCAAAAATAAATTGAGAGCCAGACCAAGGTCCATAATAACTTTCATATAACAAAAGGAACAAGAGTCTATTCACTTATGTTCACAAGCTATGGTTGTTATTACAAAAGAACTCATCATGCACTACTACGGGTAAGGCTCACGCAGGAGGGACAACCCAGACCATGATTCCCCCATGCCGTATCCATCATAATCATTACATTAATTTCTCGAGGATCCTCAAATTAGGTGCACATAATCTAGTTATTCAAATGAATTGCAGTAAAACCTCTTCATTCTGACAAAGCTCATTTCACTTAGCTGTAAAATCCTAATTTGTTTATCAAGCTAGTTATAGTTACCTCCCACGAATCAAAGTAAAGCCACCAACAATATGGCTGATCCCCCAACAGAGAACAAATTCAATGAGGTTTTATCAACTGTGTTAAGAAAATCTTTATAATAAGTGGTGGTAATGTTCACAAGAGAACTTTCATTACAATGTAGAAACCAATCAAGACAATATTACTATGACTACATCGGTACATCCCTGAAGCCTTTTCAGTTAGATGTATAAAGACTGTAGTATTCATATTTATATACTGTGCAGTAGTACCGTAATGTAAACAGGTTCCAAAATCTATTTCAACAAAAATTATTTTAGGTACAGTACAGTATCTTATTTGCATCATAGCTTTTCATGGTGAAGGATAAGGACATCTGAGGTTGGAGTAGTCCAATACTCTCACAAATTCTCAAGAAACAATGTCGGATCCTGACATCAAAATTAAAATTGAAGAAAATTGTAGGTAGATATTTTCAGGACAGGTGTTTCAATAAGAGGCATAAAAAGAGAAGATAGTGTCACACCATTAGTTAAGATATTGTACCATATATACAACAAGTACGGTGCTGACAGCTGTCACATTCTGAAAGGGTTACCAGTATTTCTGATCTCAGAAAAAGTGCAAGAACTTTTCAAATCATTTTTTTTTTGTAGTAAAGAGGCTTTACTGTATTTATTCGAAATACAGATCTTCGTGTAATTCATTATATGCTGTATGTGATATCATACATAAGAACCTGGTCCTTTACTCAGAGAAATTATTGTATAACAATTAATATTTATGGAAGCAGTTTTAAATTAAACATTTCATCCAGTTTTCCTTCATTCAACTTGGGACTTGCGAGTAACTATGAGATACACGGAGCAACTCTTATGGGGAATCATGTTTCCATGGCAGTCCCTTATGGCTGGCCTGGAACGAGGTGGCGTACAAGAGAAGCCATCAGGGCAGTCCTCGTCAAGCGGGGGCATCACTGCAGGGAGTGGAGGGTCGCCATCAAGCCACATCATCAATACCTTAATATTCTATTCTAATTAACTTCACTACAATCCCAACCACTTGGGGTGGAGTGGCATATTATGCCACATATCATAGAATAATGTAATAAATACTGTACCAAATTACTATTATCATTATAAACAATGTAACTAATAACATTACATTACAGTACTGTACTGTACTGTGTAGCATTACCGTATAAGTTATTTCAAGCTTAATCCCTCCTCAAGTTAATGAGGGAAAGTAGGTTCACTGAGGTTTTAAATCAGTTAAACATCCATCTGTTTTGGAGAATTTATGCAGAATAATGACAGTAGTAATTAATTCATATACAGTAAATCCAAATATCTTTAGCTTCAGAGAAATTCAACTTTAAATTTATAATAATTCAAGTTTAATCTGTAGCATGGTAATACTGTACTTAATGATACGCTGCAAGATTATAAGAATATTTTGCCTCTTGTGACAACCAGGATCCAACAAAACTGAAAAGCCAGATAACACAAGTCTGGTGCGACTATTATATCAAAGCTAACTGTGTGTGTGTGTGACTCTGGATCCATGGAAAGTTTTCAACCATTCAGTGCTGAAGATTTTGTCAGACCCTGATAGTGACACATAACATCAATCTCCAGTGTAAGTCTTGACCCTTGATTAGAAAAGGGAAATAAACTCTGGAGCAAATCAATGGTAAACAAGACCCAGTTCCCCTGCCCCTAAGACTGGTAACCCAAGAAGACAAAGTGAACCATAATTCCTCCCAAAATAGGAAGGAAAACATGATTTCAGTAAAGGACATTATATGAGAGGCCCACATATGGCAGCTTAGTACCAACGATCAGAACTCGAGTTCAACATCTTGTGATCACGTATTCGCAACTTGGATAAACGTACAGATGGAAAGCATGTTTCAGGCCTCCTCCTGATATATGGCAATAGACAAATATTCATCCTCTCGATGAAACAGCTTGTCTCTTGAGATATAATTTTGCTAAACAGAACTGAATAATTTTTTGTACATTTGGAACTGTATGCACATATGCTTATGAAATAGAGGTACATTTGTGCTTGTGTCCTAGATAAACAGCTAAATGTACTGTACGTACTGTATAATCCAAACCTACAGGTTCCTATTCTAGTACCTGTGCTGTATAGACATTCATAGGTCAAAATTTTAAGCTTTTCTAACATTGAAGTGACAATATGACTGTACTCAATTTGTGCTGTCATGTCAGACACTAACAAGTTAAAGGCAAAAAATATTTCACATTCCCTAACAGTTCTAATAACAATCAGCAAATGAACAAAAACGGACTACTAAGGCACAGTAGTCACAAAAATAATACTATGTAGTAAATTGGATTAAATTTAAATCTAACATCTATCACTTTCTAGATGTAATTTTTTTAACTACCGGTAAAGGGGAACTGCATATCGGGTAAATAATTTCATATTCAGGTACTAGTTAATATTTTGAAAACTTTTTAAATAAAATCATACCACCGAGATGTGCCTTACAAACGATAACATTGTCCAACAGTTGACAAGAGATTATACTTTTACCCCAGCAAACATTTTTATTATTATTATTATTATTATTATTTTTTTTTTTTTTTTAAATTTCTTGTCTTGGGAGCACTGTACTGTACACCCAAAAAGACTGAGACAACAAGAGATGACTCACCTGGACGGTTCTCAGTACCATCCTTGCTTGCATTCTTGTGGTGGTGGTGGTGGCGGTGACGGTGGTGTCGAGAACGGCGGCGGTAGGCCCCTGGAACATGGACGCCAACATACATGGAATGGGCATGGTGCCCTTCCAGTTCCTCGACATTGAATGAGTGGTGCTGGGTCACGCCAGGATCCCTTGGGGGCTCCTCCTCTGGGGAAGTGGCATTACCAGTGCTCTCCATTTTCTTACTGCTGAACCCATCCATTGTTGAGGATCACAAGAAGAAAATTATACCCATTAGCAAGGCCAGGGGTGCAGACACTTCATTATATTGATACCATTACTACAATTCATATAAGCATACTAAAAAGGAGTTACTGTTCAATATTCATGACACTAATCCATCTACTGTATTTCAAAGATCTACTGACATCAAAATCCATGCACAAGTAATTTTTTATTTAATCTTGCTAAACAAACAGATCATTAAACTGTAAGCAATTTGTTTGGCATGTACACTCTGTTATACATTATCTTTATTTATATATATAAGACCACATTTATCACGCAACCATTATTAGGACCATCTCCAAAGCTGTGTTTCACCCGTCTGTAAAGTCCTGTTATTCGCAGTACATATTGAATTAAAACTAATGTGTTATGTGTGACCACATGGCACTTTTCCCAACACCTGGTTATTATACCTCATCAATCAATGAAACAAGGCCACAATTTAACAAGTAAAAGACAGAATTTATGGTAAATTGCTTCACCTATAAATTGTATCCTTGCTGCTCTCTGGCAAGAACAGTTTGGAAAATAAAAATGGCACCACTCTTTGTCAACTAATACTATATAGTTTACAGCTCTTGCAGCCATCATTTATACTGATAAACATTTACAAAGCAGTTATAACTTTGGCCACTATATTCCATTGTTTAGTTATGATACACTGTTCATAGGCATTGGAACAGACATATGGTCCTCCTGATACAGTACTAGGTGTTTACAATAATTTACAGTCAGTGACTCCCCATGAGGGATATGCACCAACAGGTGTGGTGGCGCCTCCCCAGTGACAAATACTGTATGTTCCTATGGCTATGCTTTCTGTACATGTACTCCATGGTAAGCATGTATACCAGGCATGTACCACAAGTGTCAGCAAGTACATTTGTTGACATTACAAGACAATTCCACTATACTTCCAAAACAACAATAACAAACAAAAATCAAATGTTTGTTTAGTCCATATACATTCAGTATTGTTTAGTTCCATAACTTTAATTATTCTTTATGATTTTTTAAAGTGTATATGACATGTGTCACCTTCGAGCAGGGGCCATTTTAATACAGAACAACATAACTTAATGCTGACTTAATGCCACTCTGCTTATCAAATACAACAGAACCATTCTAAAATAATTTCTGGTTGTGTATGTCTGCTGTACAGCATTCCTACTGTAAAATTACATGGATGCTGTTTTAAAACAACCCGTTTGATTATGCCATGTAATACTATACAGTAAATACATTTACTAACTCCAGTAAAATGCATATCTTAAGTGTATATAATAATAAGCATACATCAAGTTACAGTATATATTGTACAGTAGCTAAAAAAAATAATCTCTGCATGTGGGGGTCGATATGCTCCGAAATTTTACGTGTGACTAGTGACAGCCCTCATATACCAAAATTTATCGTCCATGGTCTCATATTGTTTCCCACAAAGTATGCACAGATAGTTGTTTTAGCTGCTGTACATATTATATTCACTTACAGTCTCTCCTCGACTTACGACAACCCGGACATACGACGGCCATGGGCATACAGTGGTCCCTCGGTCAACGAGCACAATCCGTTCTAGAAGGTTGCTCGTTAACCGAAAAACTCGTTAACCGAAACCATTGTTTCAATGGGTTTTTGGGTAATTGGTTCCAGCTCACCGAAAATTGCCTAAATTCAACAAAAAAGGTAGAAAAGTACACTTACTTTGAGGTGTGTATGTAGAAAGCTCCCGGATGATGATGATGGGAATTAGAATGGGGGTGGAGAAGGGAGAAGAAAAGGCATTGGGGTGGAAGAGAAGTCACCCCATGGCGCCATTTCACCCATAAAATTTTAGTTCTCTTGGTGCAATTCAAGATTATTTTCTTTAAATCAACACTGCACTGCATTATATATTGTCAATATGTAAAATAATTTCAAAATGACCAATAATTTGCTTGCAAAAACCGAAAAAAAGCATTTAGTTGAAGAGAGTCTCAAGCAAGATGTTACCTCCACTGAAAAGATACAAAGACTGACGCCTGTATGGTGTGTTGAGAGGCTGGATGGCACGCATAAAACTAGTTTCATTACCTTCAATTATGTTCAATAATTGTTAAAATGAGTAAAAAAATTCATATTAAACTTTTAAAATTATTGAATAGTATAAACTTCTTGATATTTGCTAAAATGGTAAGGAATTTAAGCCCTAGAACCGATTACTGTATTGGCGGACTAATACTACAGCTGGTGGACCGCCAAATGCAAGCGAAATCATGTTCAGGTTGGCTCGTAAGAAACTAGTTAATCGAGGGATTGCTCATTAACCGAAGTTAAGAATCTTATGGAAGGAAACTCGTTAACCGAAATCTCGTTAACCGAGGCGCTCGTTAACCGAGGGACCACTGTATAAAATATTTTTCACATTACATATTTTCGAGTCCCGACGTTAGTGATCGAGCTGTGTACTTACAAAATTTTCGTTTGTAATTGCCTTTAAAATGGCTGGCAAGCGTAAAAGTGAGAGTTTTCTTGGTGCTGCGAAGAAAAAGAGACACCCATTTTGTATTATTTTCGCCTTTTCGACTTACGACCAATTCAACTTACGACCTGGTCGTCGGGACGGAACCCCGTCGTAAGTCGAGGAGAGACTGTATGCTTATATAGTACAATACTGTACTCAACAATATGCTTATTTTTTAACTTGAACTCTTTACTGAGTTCAGTACTGTACCTGTATTACACAAATGTACTCACAACATATGGTAAATGGTGAACATAGAGAAGCATCATGTTTACAAAATAACAGAAAGCTTAAAAAGAGACAAACCTGCATGCATTTCCTCTTTTTACACTCACAAGCACACACACACGCACACCCAATCAACATTTTCGTCAGCTAGTGTTTTATGGGAGTGTAAAGGAGGTGACACTTATAGAATGACTTACTTTTTCCCCATGTTTCCACTGTCAACGCTGAGCTACTGGGGAGGGGAAAAGAACAACAAATGAAGAGAGAAAAATAGTATGGCAAAGCAACAATGCATGGCAACAATGGAGAGGGATACACGTCATTACACTGCAGAGGGTACACAGGTGTCGCTCGTCTGGTATCACTACCTGACTCATTATCACCTCCTGCTCAGACTGGGTGTGAAAATGGGCTCTACTTCACACGCTGGCCAAGAAGGAAGGAAAGCTAAACAAGCGAGCAAGATTACAATGAAAATAATGCCGAACGAGCGCCACTGCTACGCTGCTCTCACTTGCTACATGAGGAAGATATTAATCATTCTGTTTGAAAATGAAGGAATGCAAAAAAAATGAGAAAATGTTAACTATTCCATAAAGGTAATGCATAAATGTAGAATCTACTTGGTAGTTGCTACAACAAGACACCTACAAAAAGGAATGCTAAGAGTAATATCCTGCTTCCTGCCAACATTTTCACAAGAGTATGAATAAGTAACACAATGCAATTAGTGATCAATATTAAGATAAATATTGAAAACAGCAAGAATAATAAAAAAAATTACAAAATTATAAGATATTTGAAAATCACAGAAGTAGAAGTAAATGCAAAAATAATGATAAAAAAATTCAACTCGGGCAAAAGGACAGTTGAACATCAATTACTGTTGAGTATATACTGGGTTTCAGCAAAACTATCATCTGCTCATTATCAATTACAGTATGTGCTCAGGATGATCAAAAACAAAGATCAAGTTCAGGTACAAATTATTGAATATTTTACAGTACAGTAATAATAATTTCAGATCTTCTGATTTTAAATTTAATATTTAAGTGATGCAGTTTCAGAAAGTCGTTGCTTTTGAGTCACACCTGCAGTCAATTTATTTTTGCTAAGTTCTAAACTGTGTTGACACAGCTCGAATACCAGACTTATCTAAACCAAACATAATTTTTTTAATTATATTTGGTTTGTTCAGTATATTTTACAGAGCCACATGCTGTAGTTCAATGCTCCTGAGAACAATGACCAAGTCATCTTCATACACAAGAAGGCCGTGTATTTTATATGCTAGCTGTGGTTGCCCAGTTCTCCAGACAAAATAAAGTGGGAGCTGGATCCAGGTCTGTAACTGTTTTATCTCCATGTAAGGTTCAGTAATAGGTGCTCCACTGTCTCTCATTATAGTCAATATGTATCACAACCCATTCTCAAGTCATCATTCCTCATACAGTACAGTAGTTATTGCTGACAAAACAATTATAAAGACATTGAGAAAAAGAGAAAAGAGCACAATCACTACAATGACTTTTCAGTCCATACCAAACTGAGTCAGTTGGCAAAACATCTAAAACACTCTGAGCACTGTGGATGATCTACAAATGTTACCTCTACACACTGCAGGTCCTCAGTCAGTTACAACATAGAACTTTTAGTTTCCACTCCACAAAGATAAATGGCATGGTGTACCAACTTCTACAAGAGACAAAAGTTTTAGAAAAGTACCACAGCCAGGACCATCAAATAGCTTAGGCTCATGTCTGCTTAAAAAAAAAATTCAGTTATTCTGCTATGGTACTTTTCCAACGTTCTCACACCAAAGATGTTCTTCACAGCAATAATGTTTCCTTGTACAACAAAACTAGTTTCAGGGATTTTAATTTTAGAACATTTCTTAATAGAAAGTACAGTACTGGTTAAGTAGTGTGGTTTCCAAATAACTGTTGGAATTATAAAATACTGTTACTCATTCTTTAACTTATAAATTCTTAACACATATGGTGCATTATAACTTTGCAGTTCCTTTAAACAAGAAAAACAAACCAATTAACAAAACCCAAACTTACCAACATAACAGCTAAATACATTTCCCAGATTGATCACTTTATTTTATAGAAACTGGATAAAAGAAAGTGTTCCTTGCCAATAACTCTGAACCAAATATACCATTAGGATTTGGGAAAAATTACCCCCCCCCCCAATGCAGCCCCACAGCTCTAGGAAATTAATTAATCACTGCACTCTTGTATGTCAGACTTTTGAAGGAGCATATCTTTGAGCATTGCCATCTGAGTCTATATCGTACAGAACTTAAGTACAGCACAGAATTATCAATTGCAGCATCACTCAGTTGGTCTCTTCCATCTATCTGCAGTAGTTTGTTTAAACTCGTTGGGGTCACAGCTGTAACAAGAACTTTTTTGGCCCAAACCTAACGCTAAAAAGGTAATACCATAGTAAAAGACAAGGGTCTGGGTTAATCAGCTACCTAACGAAAAATATATTTAAGAAAACTTATTTCTTACCTCAAGAATATGCAAAAGTTTGCCCCATTAATACACTGTAACCATTGTCTACCAGCAACTGACCGATTTTCCTCCCTTTCCATAGGAATCTACCTAATACTGTAAAACCAAACATGACCTAACCTAAGACAACACCATGTACCTGTAATACAATATTAATCTTCCATCTAAAAAAGTTATTAACATCTGCATAAGTGTTTGTGTAGACGAAAAGGATAACACTGGTATGTCGTGTCCCATGTGTGGCAAAGATTAGTTTTAGTTACACCAAAAGGAAATTAAAAAAATAGGTTAGTGTATTTTATGTTGTTTCAAACGAATCTGACCCTCATTTCAGTCACAAATGAACCTTTTTTTTTCTAGAAAACCTACCGAACTTCCAAGCTGGGTACCCCCCACCATATTAAACAGAAAATACTAATTTTGATATCTGGTACCAATGAAAGCAACATTCTTGAAGTGTCATGTTGAAATTTTACGTTTTTTTTGTGGACATGTGAGTATGCTTGGACCAAGCAGGACAGTTGAAAACAGAGAAGGCAACAACACAAGCCGTCAACGGCAGACACCCAATGTTTGAGGGTAAATAAATTAAAAATTAAGCATTTGCACAAATACTGTACTAAAATGAACCGCATCTCGTGATTTTTTTCTTTGAAAACAATAGTTTAAGATGGCAAAATTATCGTTTTGGTCACCCAGCGAATTTTAAGGAGTAGTTTAGACAATTCTAAGCCACTTTTCTTCTATATTCTTTCCTTCGGAAATTTATATTTTTAAAGTATTTTAATCGATAAAATTACCAACAATATTACTTGTTTAGTTTAAAGTGGGTAGGGCTTGGAAGAAAGGGGGAAAATGTAGGGTAAAATACTAAACAAACTTTTGAAAACCTGACCTAACGTTTCCCACCCTTTAAAAATCCTAAAACTATAAAATATTTAACATATTCATGTTTTCGGTGTTCAGTATGTGATGGTATTGTTTCAGGGGTGTCGGAATTTCCGACTCTTGTTTATCGAACACGACGTAGTCGGTAAGCCGTGACGTCACTGCTCCGACTGTCGGTAAATTACCGACTTGAGGAAATGTGCTTTTTCGTGGCTAAAATACCATATAGAATACAAAGAAATAAAATGTATATGTATTTAATTACCTTACCTACATTTTACTAGCGATATTTTAGCAGAATTATATTTTTTATGTATTGTCAAAATAAAATTGTTGGAATGTTTTGGTTATTTTTTTATTCAGTATTATCGAAAAGTAATACAAATTACAATTGATAAACTACAAATCTAATGTGATCTCATATAACACTCTGAATGGTGTATAATGCAGTGTTTATTATTCAGAAATTTATAAAACTAATGACAGGAACAATGAAATTCACTGAGTATGAGGACTACTCTGGGATCTTCGTTACCCCTCACCACACATTATATTACGTCATGATCTCGCAACCAATCACAACGCGAGCAGTTGAACCAATCAGCGTGTTCAGTGAAGAAGAGTCGGACATTCCGTCAACCTTACTTTATAGTATATTGTTTTCGATGTTCAGATAAGGAGGGAAACAAACTCGCAAGTGATTCTTAACATTTTTACAAGTTAGGAAAAGTTTGGTAAGGTTTTCAAAGGTTTGTTTTGTGTTTTTTAGTATTTTACCCCACCTTTTCCCTCTACTTCAAAGCCCTGCCTACTTTGAACAAGTAATATACAGCATTGTAATTGGTAATTTTATTGGTTAAAATACTCGAAAAATATAAATTTCTTACGGACACACTATAAAGGAAAAGATTCTTAGAATTGTCTAAACTACTGATTCCAAAACTTAAAATCTTGTAATTCGTTTAGACAATTTTCAGACACTTCTCTTTTGTTTCCCTCGCAAACGACCTAAAACAGACATTTAATGCCATTCCCCCTCCCCCCACAACTAGAAGTTTGGTAAGGTTAGGTAGGTTTCGTTAGTCAGGATAACTTAATTAGTAATACGTGGTTGATAGCACTAACCAAACCTACCTAACCTTACCAAACTTCCTAACTGGAGGAGAGGGACATTAAATACTCTATCTCGGTTCTAGGTCGTTTGCGAGGGAAACTTCAAAGAAGAAAATTATCTTAGAATTGTCTAAACTACCGTTTGCAAAGAAAAATCACGAGATTTGGTTGGTGAACACAAATGCAATAATAGCTTCTCGTAGTTTTTGGATTTTCAACTCCCAAAACTGTATCTCGGTTGTGAGTAAAGACCGCCTAGTGTCATGGATGAAAATAGTCTTGTTTTTGTCTAAACTTGTCCTTATTAATAAAAAAATATAGAATTATGTACTCTATTATAAATTAACCCTGGAAAAATAACTAAATAATACAATGCATACCGTCTCCTCCACCTTTACCCAATTTTGTTATACAGCACTAGCATGTGCTCTAGCAATGTGAATAGTCGATATATCTTGATGTGCCTTGTGCCTGTCCAGACATTTTTCTGGAGACATTATTTACATTTGGCGACGGCCTTACAGGTAAATTGCAGACTAGTGGCAATTTGTTTTGTCTCACCACAGGAAGATAATTCCAACACATAAAAGGATAAGTGTACACCATATACAACAAAAACACAACACCGCACATTACGAGTCAGGGCCGTGAACCAAAAGGTGTTAAAAAGTAGTCAGCAGTTCTGTGAACAGTGAGACATTGTATACTCGTAAAATAGTCATAAACGTGGTCTTCCGCCAGGTTTTCGCGCATGTACGGCAGGTCGTGGAACAGTGAAGAATATGAGATACACGACCAAAGACAGACATGTTAATTTGACCTGATTTTTCACTGAACAAAAATATATGGATACAACAAATCACAGACATGGGCCTTTTTTTATATATAGTTGGTATAATGTTCATGCCATATTAATACATTGCCATTCACCAGTTTTCCGTAATTCTAACACAATACTTTGGGGGTCAATTAATTATTGACTGACAGTCAACATTTTTTTTCAGTTCAGTGACAAAATTAACCAATTGTAATTTTATTTCCGCTTTGGCCTATTTATTTTAGTGCCTATTTTTCCATAAACTTTTATCAAAAAATTACAAGGTATATAAAAATATCACTATATTGCTAAATAATTTAACTGCGCTCTAATTTAAAAAATTGCCATGATACTGATGATCCACGTTTTCTATAGCTAGCTTGTGTCAACAATAAGTCTTGGATTTCATTAGTCTTCCTTCATCCAAGATCAGCTAAACTGCTAAACACACTGCGGTGGGTTAAAACTAGCCAGTGCAGTTTAAAAGTCTACACCAAGGAAACCGAATGATTATAAATCTGTTTAACACTGTTCAAAGGATAGGTGAGTGTTCGTATTTAAACACTCAAGTTATTGTTGCCTCATTTAGCGGTAGTGGCGTTCATTCCCGTAACTAGAAAGTCACAGCACTAAAATTGGCAAATGACCGAACCATGGTAACGTGCGTTTCAATACTAAGATCTTTAAATTATGGTATGCCCGCTTGTTTATGTCGTCGGCAAAAAACACCACTATTGGTGATAAATATTTCCACGCCGCCACATAACTACCTGGAAAGAGGACAGTGGCAAGTTACTCATACTTAGTTACTGATATCACGTTTTTCTCCATTCTAATGTCTTTACGCTTTTTCTTTCTCGAGCATAAGCTTCTTTCTCACAACCATGTTTAGCAATGTAAAAGTCGGACAATTTGAATACCCGTTTAAAAAAAAAATACCACATTGGGAGTTGTTCATCGCAAAAGGTCGATAAAAGCAAGTTGATGACCATCTCCCGCAACGTTTCTCAATGATAACAGTAACATGTAGACATAAAATGGTCAACACTGCTTGGAAATTTACCCAAGCAAACAAAGAGGTCCTGAATCCCATGTGCCCATGTAGTGTGGGCACGCGCTATGTCTCATACTCGAGGACTGTTACTGGAACTGTACTCCAAGTGAAATCGTTCACAAATGAAACGAGCAATAGATCCACTAAAGACCATAATTTCACGATTCTAAAAATGGGATCATACCCAGTACCAAATTCTGCTGAGCTATTACAGTGTCGAAAAAAATATCCGCTCTAAAAAATTACCGCGTTCATTGTAGGATAGATGGACACATCCGAAGCTTGATATTAAATATCCCGCGAAAGTGTTCTGGAGTACAATTACGATGACTTGTATACCATGTTTGCCTTCACTGACTATATTTACCTTGAACACAGGCTCGTTCTCACTTATACGACCCAAATATTTCCTACATACAATAAAATCCACTGGGCAACTGTAATATACATTTGGAAGAGCCATAACATTAGACCGTGATGACAGAGAACGCTGGGTATTTGATACACCCCTGATCATGTGATGTATACACTATTTACATAGGTACCAATTCTGGCTAAAATCCAAAAGTTCAAGCTACCGCGACCGTTTTGGCTCCTTTTTGCCACATGGACAGAGGGGGAACCGCCAGCCAGCCCATAACACTTCATCCCCCGCTACAGATACGAGGAAAGTATACTCTGGGGTGTAACAACCGTACTGAAAATACATTATCACGATGGTCCAACAAGTTCGCGCCTCTTTTCAAAGGGTGAAGTGTGGATACCTACGTTATTATTTTAAGTCACTTTCTACACTTGTCTTGCACAACTATCACATCATATCCGCTAGTTCTCTAAGTTCTGCTAAGTACTCCTTCATATACCACACACAAGAATGGGCGGGAATAAATATAACGGAGAAATAGATATAAATAGACAGATATACAACTTCCATGTCCATTTGCATACAAATAACCTGAACACTAAGTAGGCCAACTTGTTAAACAAGATCGTTCGATTTACAAAAACATTATCATCCATCCAGAATTCTCGTAAGCTCTGGTTAAAATTTCCTTGACTGGAGACGTAAGAACGCATCTAAGCGGCTCATTAAAGTTTGAAAATATAAATAGCGTTCAAGATAACAGCAAACTTACAATCACACTCGGTACGTACATTAATTTTCCTGAAGACCAGTTAGAGACAAAATTACCTTACAAAATCTTTGTGAACTAGGACCCCGGATTCTGAAATGAGATTCGCAAGTTTAATCTTCGCACTTGGAAAAGAGGGAACATCATTCTGCCAGGTCACTGAATCTGCATTGTAATCGCGATGTCAATTTGGCTGTCATCTTGGTGTTGCACCTTACTTGAACCAGTTGGATACGTCAAGTTTGGGGGAAAATATGACGTACGACGCTTCTGAGAACCTATGCCCTGGTCTCAGATTCTCAAACGACTCTAAATTATTTTTCCCAAGTGGTCATCTATGAAGGCATTTAATTAAACCCACTTCAGGTAAAACTAAAACTCAATCGTGACACGATACCCCCCCCCCTCTTATTCCCAGTAGAGACTAAACTTTTGTTGTACAAATCTGAGAATATGTGGCCTGAACTAAGAAAGAAAACATACATACATACTTGGGTAGAGCGGTGGATAGAAGAGCGGCCGTGGGTAGGGTGAGGAGGCAGGCGTGCACTGGCATCAACAACACAACATAAAGTACCAACTTACCTAGTAGGTGAAACCGAGGGTAACTCAAGAGAGTTAGTTTGTAGTGACGTTGCTTTAGGCGACTGTGCTCATCTGCAAAAGAAACAGTACAAGTTAGAACATACAAGATTAAGTCAATAGTTTTTTGGGGCAGTTGTGTATTTTCCGCCAGGTGCCTTTATTACAATACACGTAAACATGTAAGAATAGATTGGCCCGACAGTCTCAAATAACAACACTTAGTAACCACACAGAAACCCCCCGAACTCTCTCGAATCTCTTCCATTAAAATTATGAAAAATAAAATTATAAGAATATGTAAATTTGTTACCTACAGGGTCATTAGTTAAGTTCTGCCATTAATAGCTAATGTTGGACACGTCACTTGTGGCTAAATAAAACATGAACCTCCCATATTACTTGGGTACCTACTGTGTTACGTCATAGTAAGATCCTTTGACTGGTGAACTCAGTGTCAAGGTCTTCACATCACAGAACATATCCCCCCCACACATAACGGCCCGGACATGAATACCGCCGGCAATTAAAATGGGCCCCTGTACTTGTAGGGCCCTAACCTAATCATAAAGGATAGTAGTCCATTGAAACTGGGCACAATAATAATGGTTAGGATACACTGTGGATACACAGACTTGTCTACAGGTAATTTTTAACGGGGGATAAGCGGTGCACGGTCCTGACGGGCTCCCCTACCCCGTCCATATTAGACAGGTCCACGGTAGTCAACCGAGGCATGGATGGTGTGACTAAGGCACTGATATATTTGAGGTGTTCTGGAGCACTACCATTTATAAGACCAAGTTTAAAATATTTTACTCTGCAGTCAACAGGAAGTAAAACAACACTGCTAAAGTGTTGAAAACCGACAGGTGTTCTGGGAGGAGCATTAATAGTATATATTACTATGTTGATTTGTATAATATCCATCCTGCCCTTCAATTACTTTGTAAGACAACTGTACTATACCAGGATAAACAGGCACAATCGAAATGACATTGAATCAAAGTTGAAACGATTTTTTTTTCGATCGAAATTTTCGGGTGTGCCAGTCACGGTTCAAGTTTATCAGCACTTTTAGAAAGCACCTTTGAATCTTGATGCTGCTCTCTTTATCTTTATCTTTATATTATTAAAATATAAAATAAATCATTAAACTAGTTTACTTGCACATTTACACGAGAGTTGACAGAGGAAAAAGACGAGTTTTTCAGCCAAGTTACAAGTCAGATTATTACGAGTCTCATCTAAAGTCGCAAGTCAAGAAGAGGCAAGTCTTGAGTCAAGTCACGTCATATTACACCCAAGTCCAAGTCAAGTTTCAGGTCAACAAAATGTGAACTCGAGTTGGAGTCGCAGACTCAAGTCTCCAACTCTGGGCATACGCGTAGATTCAAAGCACATCAACAAACCGGCACAGAGTTCCTTTATAACATTATTTGTCCATTACTAGATACAAATTACGATGAAAACACGGTAACTCCTGTGAACATCCGGCTCCCACGGGGCCAAACTAATCATCTGACATAAAAATAATACAATCGGGTTGATGAGGTCATGTTAGACGAAGGCTATATGCTATAATAGGCTGGATTATGAGTCGGTTAGGTTAAGTTTGATAGTTGTTCAGGCCCAGTTAAGTTTACCTAAGTTGGGTTAGGAGCTGGATTGGTTAGGGGTTAGTTACACCATGTTGGATAGATGGTGGTTACGTGAAGGTAGACTCCCGGTCCGGGTAAGAAGTCCTGTGGACATACCACGAATGAAAATATTTTCCCAACTTGATACCTACTGATAGCCATGGTATCCGTAATGCTCACAATATTCCCGTTTGGTTTGGGTTCTACCTTGACTTATATGGATTTTAAAATGGTCAAACAAATCGCTGTGAATGTGTCATAAATTACAAGAAGAATGCAACGTATCTTATCAGTTATCAACAACTGGTAATCCATCCAGGAATAACAACACAACGTTATCGTAAAATGTTCGTTACGAAGGCTGATTACACACACACACACACACACACACACACACACACACACACACACACACACACAGAGAACAAGTCATTAAAGACAGGACGATGTTCATCTTGACACGACGTCAACACTCAATCATTATTGAACTAAATCTGTTTTTAGCACCAACGAGCGAGGACCCAAAACATTAGTTTAAAGTGCTCAGAAGTTCCATCCTGATAAATTCAGACATAGTTCATTAATGAAAGTAGTATTAGACTATGCAATCGGTATTAAAGGATACAGTGGCCAGCACAGAACTTGATGCCTTCACTTCCCAACTGTAAAGTTAGGTACTCATAGACAACTGGGTGGACTGGAGGTTCTCCGGATCAAGCCAGTGACTCAAGACTGGAGGCGAGCACTGTACCACTCGGCCGCCGTACCACTAGTTCTCTGATGGTATTTGTAAATTCATCAAAGTTTAAGGCCATAGCAGACTCTCCGCTACCAAAGTAAATTAAAATAAAACAAACCATTGCTTAGGGCGAGACCTAGAAAGACACTTTACCACAGGAAGTTATGAACGGTCTTCTGTTTCCTGCAACACTGATCAGATGCTGTTAACATTTGGATGTTTTCTGACAAGATGGTGTGATTTAATAACCCTAAGTCATGCGGTGATCCTGGATGCATGGTGGTGAATGTATCTGAAGTATTGCTAGAACAAATAAACACGAGCACACGCCTGCAGCCAAGGTCGTAAACTTTGATTCTTTGCTGTTAATCTATTTTCACTGTGGATTAATCATGGTGTACCTCAATCATTAATATATATGCAGCTTTCTGTATGGTATATATATTACAAATTTATTAAACCGACAATTTCTAGATATTACCTGTAACACCGTATGATTACACAGACCAAAGGGCTAGTGTCTCCCTCGCCCGGGCCGGTGGTACACTACTACTACCTACTGATAATACATGTGTAATATAACGTGAAATCTGGCAAGATACATTCACCTTGCTTCACCTATCCCTTAACACACCTTCACACTACAACTACCACAACCTAACACTACAACGTAATAACACAACCTAACACTATAATAACCACAATCTAACATTACAATAACCACAACCTATCACTACAGCTTAACACCACACCCACTACTACAATAACCACAACCTATCACTACAGCTTAACACCACACCCACTACTACAATAACCACAACCTATCACTACAGCTTAACACCACACCCACTACTACAATAACCACAACCTATCACTACAGCTTAACACCACACCCACCACAACCTAACACTATAGCCAACACAACCTAAAATTACGAAGTGCACAACCTAACAAAACCACCATATCGACATGACCCAACTCTCGCATATCTTGACCTAAAACAACCTAGCTTTCCCACCACAGTAGCCTACATGACCTAATTCTCACACCTCCCACACCCTTGCCGCGACCAATATTACATGTAACCCCTTCTCAAGTCCCTACCACTACGTTTTTCTATAAATTCTCCATTACTCAGCCGTTTTCCTGAAGTAGCAAAGACCAGTCCGCTCACTGTAGTACGAATTAATGTTATATACAAATCTGAACACATGGAGTTACTGTACTAGCCTGCTTCCCCTTCTCTCTCAGCGTTAACTTATTCTCCCTCACAGTCATACTACAAAATCACTAACCACAGAACACCCGAGGATGCCAGTGAAAATAACCAGTAACCTTCATGGTAATATGCTTCGTGTCAGTGACCTCTGCACCCCCTCCCCATCAACACTTGTTCTATAAGGGATGTGATGTGTCGATGGTTTTGAATCCATACTTACCTAGCCCTTAAGTCAGGGACCCATTAGGACTGAATCACAATCTTAACGGTTAGTTTAGGTTTGACACTACGTGTTCGGTTACCATAGGAGGGAACAGGTAAGAGCCGATGATGATTCAAAGAAAGATCGTTTGAGAAATTATGTCTGCCGTAGCTTAACCGTGGAAAATGTTAAGCAATAATGTATGCAATAATGCAGTTCCGCCTCGATTTCCCTACAAACAGTGAACTGGTGACATACTCTTGTACCAAATTACTCATTTCCGGAGACCATTTCTTTAGACTGGGCCATTATTACAGTGCACCGTTTGTCAATATTGTCTCTGGCTAAATAAAGTGTCAGTAGGCGAGCCTTGCTTACAGCGTCACACACTGAGTAGTCTCCCTAATAAGAGTGTTGAACATTACGGAATAGCATCACTTTCTCCTGTCCTTGAAAAACACGAGAAAAACACCGCGTTTGTGGGCGTCTGCCTGTTGTTGTCATTTTTCTTTAAGACAAAAACATTCATTAATTGGTGCTTTAGCCAGCTCTGTGAATAATATAATTATCCTAATCCAGGTTGTGACATCATTCACGTTTGTGTGTACCAATATATATATATATATATATATATATATATATATATATATATATATATATATATATATATATATATATATATATATATATATATATATAACTTCATTTTAGTCCATATAACACGCGGATTTGAACATATAATCAACGACCTCACCAGCCATTAGGTCGAGGGTTCGACCTACTGTAATGTATATGACAGTAATGTATATGATACACACGAGTAAGTGTATTACTACACTAGTGCGCCTGCCAGTGACTTTAGTTAGTTCTATAACTTAAGATACATTTTTAGTTTGTGTTCCGAAGCATTCAAATTTAGTTATTTATTTTTCATTGTGGCTTTTTTGCACTGAAAACCACTTTTGAGTGAGAGAGAGAGAGAGAGAGAGATCGACGTGTAAAAACCTCGTCTGAACACATGCATCTTTACAGCACGCATATCCCTCACGAAAAAGAGGTCTTAGTAAACTTCCCAGAAAATACTGTAAGAGTTAAATGTCACGAGAGCGTCAGAGTACACATAGGAACACCACGGTGATGTAATATGTGGATCAAATTCTACGCGGAACAGAAACAACCTCTTCCATTTAGGCAACTTTTCAAATGCTAAAGTTCAGCTCTGAGGATGAACAAGCAAGACAACGGTGCAAGCAACGAACAATGAGTAGCATTTATAAGAACCAACTAATACAATGTAGTGACGCATCGCTTCACCAAAGTGTCAGGTATTTATCGTTTTATTACATATAATTATCAGCTCAGACTAAGCCAAACGCACATGATAAAGACGGTCACCAGGAATCTACTGACGTCAGCCTCCAACAATGTTAGGACCTGAGCGTTTCACAATACAATGGGGGACTTAAATATTATACCCAAGTGATTTACAGGTAATGACACCATGAGAAAAGAAAAAAATGGCTGTTTTGTAGCTGTAGTGTAAATCATACGAGATTGTAGAAAATAGTATTATTTCAGACAGGTTACTACACTACTTTACTATGTCCTAACATAGTTAGAACCTATGCTATTTATCATCTTTAATACTACACTTGCCAGTTGTCTTAGTCTAATAAAGTCTTAAGCAAAACGCACATGATGCAAGGCTAACATGTTGAATTTACGTAATACCGGTGTTGCCAACGTGCAAAGTAAATAAGGTAGATAAATATTGATTTCACTTACATCGGCAAACAAATTTACATTGGTTCGTCATGATTACAGACAATACAGGTATACCTATTATAAAGATAGGTAAACAATGAGTCAAGTCAGCCAAGGATTGCCCAGGTGACGTTTAAAGCTTACTTCATGAGGTCTGCATATGTGAGGATGGAGAAACTACTTCAGATTGGCGAGTCTTACCACAATTAAAAATAAAAACCCTACAACAATAACTATCTGCAAGGAAAGCTGTTGGGAGCTGAGCTTTTCCCCGACACCATACAAACACTTCACGCAGAAGCATCATAACTGAAACACTGATGATTTGATTTTACTTTAATTTATTGAATAAATATTCATACAGTACAATACTGTATATGCATACATAAACAAACATTTGTTGAGGATAACACAAAGTATTAGTAATACTTATTTCCAATGTGATTCTATGTAAAACTCGCATTAATATCACCGTCAGTTTACCGAACAGTTACAAAACGGAGTGCATGTCAGACCACCACCAATACTGTAGTCAGTTCGATTTAATATTGTTAGTCCTTTTGCTGATTTAACTCGGTTGTAAGGGGAGATCCGTGAATGCTCATTGTTCTTACTAGGAAACGCAACACAGCTCCGTGCGTGTTGGGCAAATCACTCGCGTGGTAATCCCCTCGCCTGTCTCCCCATACCACCTCACCTGTAGTCAGGACATGCACTTCGGTACGGCACGATTGATCTATCGTAATTCGTACCAAAGGAAAAATACCGTACCGTACCTCAGATATACCTTCGTACCGCACTATTACGATATATTATCGTACCGTAATTTCGGACCCCCCAAACAAAATGTAGCTCAATTTAAGGTGCAACAAAAGAGTATAATTATATTATTAACTTTAGTATTTTATTCTTAACAGAATAACGCTTAATATTCTAACATATTGATACTAAATTACACATTTTACTTAATTTTCTGTCCCTAGCCCACAGACTCGGGAATGAGAATGTGTCAGAGTACTGCATCAGAGGCCTCTGAGAAAAGTTAAAGCTCATGGTATCGAGGGAAAAGTTTTGAATTGGATAAAGTCATGACTCACCGATAGAACACAGAGGAGCAGTGTAGATGGTGTTAAATCTGAGTGGGGCTGTGTAACCAGTGGGGTTCCCCAGGGGTCAGTACTAGGCCCACTCTTGTTCATAATCTACATAAACGATCTAGATACTGGGATCAGCAGTGACATAAGCAAATTTGCGGATGACACCAAAATAGGGCGGCAGATTAATTCAAGGCAGGATGCAAATGCACTACAAGAGGATTTAAATAAACCGCAGGAGTGGTCAGAAAAATGGCAAATGAAATTCAACACCAGCAAGTGCAGCGTATTGGAAGAACAAATACTGTCAATGTATACAGCCTTAACAACATCAACCTAGAGCAGTCGACTTGTGAGAGACTTAGGGGCACTTGTAAGCCCGGACCTACGGCCTAGAAAACAGTGCGTTAATGTTCGAAATAAGGCAAACAGAGTATTAGGTTTTATATCTATAGGTGTAAGTAATAAGAGTGCAGAGGTCTTATTGCAACTATATCTTGCGCTAGTCAGGCCGCACCTCGATTATGCTGTTCAGTTCTGGTGCCCTTATTATAGAATGGATATCAATTCCCTGGAGTCGGTGCAGCGAAGAATGACGAAAATGATTCCGGGACTTAGAAACCTTCCATATCAAGATAGGTTAAAGAAACTAAACTTGCATTCCCTAGAAAGACGAAGAGTGCGGGGAGATGTGATAGAAGTATTTAAGTGGGTGAAAGGAGATATAGATAAAAGTTCTTATAATATCCGAGCAGGATAGGACTCGTAGCAACGGATTTAAGTTGGATAAGTTTAGGTTTAGGAGGGAGATAGGAAGGTACTGGTTCACAAATAGGGTGGTGGACGAGTGGAACAAGCTTAGCAACTTTGTAGTAAGTGCGGGAACTCTGGAAAGTTTTAAAAGGAGGCTGGATAGATTCATGGATGATAGAGTGGTAGTAACTCTCGACAGGAGCTGCCATGCACAGGCCAACCGGCCTATTGCAGACTCCTTATTTTCTTATGTTCTTATGTACTTTTGTAGCGTACCGAACTAAAAGGCTAGTGACAGGGGAGAAGGAAGTTCAGTGGGAGTTTAGAGAGAGGATGGAAGGGAATTTTAGTGGGAGACCCTTATAACCGTAACGGACTAAGTTCGAAAACTAACTAAACGTGACAAACGGTGTGAACAATGAGTAAAAGCCTTAATCAACCTCGATTGTTTTGTATGAGGGCACAATTCTTACTTGTGTATTTAATTTGTATTTTATATCAACGTTATACCTTTCCCCGTGGTATATATATATATATATATATATATATATATATATATATATATATATATATATATATATATATATATATATATATATATATATATTCTTTGTTCAGTCTGGTACATGCAGTTGATTTTCAGATTACGCAAGGATCAATACTTCACTGTAGGCCGAGCTGTGACCCCACTACCTGACTCACCCGATGCTTACAAAGTGGCTTTAGCAAAGTGACTAGACCGAGCGCGAAGTTGCACGCAGATATCTCTCGCTCTTCTAAATCTTTCCCGCTATGAAGTAGAGTAGCAGGAATCAAGAGCAACAAAGTCTCCCTTCATTCAGTTCACTATTACTGCTACCCGATGCTCTGCTCTAGTGTTCTTCCACAACACTTGACAAAACTCTGCTATTTCTATTAATTTTCATAAGCATAATACATCTGGTAGTGTAGTATACAGTACAGGTGTATGGTGTGCTATAATACAATAAACGGGTACAGTATATTCAAACACTATTATGACAGAATCTAAGGTTTGCTGCAGCTTTAGCTTTAGGTCATTTAACTGGCGGCGTTAAGCATTGGTCCCAGGTCTTTGTTTCTGGTTCAGCCATAAGCTAACTTTTATAGATCAGCTGACAGGAAGACCAGCCTGGGCCCAAAATGAGTAGCTGGCAAGGTGTTATGCCGGCAACGTTTGAACCAACAGCAGCTTCCTGGCAGGATGACGCACACTCCTGCCTCGCTGCACAACACCCACACTTATTACTGGCTGACCACGCTACCATCACAATCACCTCCATTATTCACCTCAATCCACAGAATTCCTTCTTGCAGGAACTCCCGAGGGTTTACAAAGTCGTTAACTAACGCGTTTACATAGTTTTGAGTCAATTCACTGCAACAATGTTTATGCAACAAAATTTCTATCAGTCGAGATAAAGTTTGTACTATGATACAACTCACCAGATTGCTGTTAAAATATCCAGAGTCCAACACAATACACTCTAGAATGTGGAGAGCACATGTGCTAACCTCCTACTCCTGCACATGCGCACAGGGGACTGAAGTCCCGTCACCGTCCGTAGCGCGGCCAAGCGTCGGCAACCCGCGACTAACAAATTCTACAAAGGATTTCTCTGTGCACTGTCCTGTATCAGAACAGTTCGTTCAAGTACGTGTTTTTCTGAAACTAGCTGGTGGAGGGATAAAGTGACTAGATTTACTGCCCCAGTCATCCACGTGTGATATAGGGCATTAAACCGAGTGCAGGGAATAAAGAATGACATGTTTACGAGAGAGATATCTCGGTGAAGTCATATCACAATAATCTTCTCGTCGTAAAACACTCTTTCTTTATTGACATTTCATCGTCGATTTCGCCATGGCGAGCTTCAACACCGATATTACCATCATGACTGAGAGAGGACGGGGTATTTCCCTGGCGAACTCTCAAGAACCTGGAAATACCCACCTAGCAAACCTTCGCATATCACAATAGTACTTCCATTCACATTTTACAAGACACAAGCTAACCGACATCTAGAATATAACTATAACTATGTATGTACAGTATATAACTAATTATATGAAATATTTGGGATTTATGTGAGTCCTGAGAGGGACATTCCTGGACTGGGGTGGGGATGACTTATGTCACTTCATCCCTTTGAGATGTATTAATGTTTTTTGTATCTCAACAAACGTATCAATCAATCAAGCTAACCAACTCAGTTAATATGGTGTGGAATCAGCTCTGTACAAAAGGTGAAACCGAATGGGTTTTTTTCTTTTGCAAGCTACACACCGGACTTTATCAGTAATCCAGAGTTCAAATTCCTATTACACTTAGCTACTGTATATTCGTATTCACAAATATCCTAAACTGACCTACTCAAAATCTACACCAAGCACAGTACTAACCTACAACAACCACGTCAAGTTCCCCTCTTTCTAAGCATCTCTACAGTATAAGCACTCCTGTTACACTAAGCTATTGCTAACTACATCAAGCACACACCTAAAGTACCCTGAATTGGCTCACATCACGCCAAGTGTCCTCTACATCCCTCTTCCACTGACGACTCCGTGAAACAGCCCCGGTAGACCAGGTACACCACCACTAAGACTTTACTTTACTCCTCGCAGCTGACGCACAGGTTAGCCTTGGATAAGTAAGTCGGACTCGGTACGGTCTTGTTATACTTAGGGCAGGAGACATGAGGTGAGATGGATTAGGGTTAGCTAAAGTCAGATTCCATTGGCTAGGTTTGGTTAAGCAAGGCTAGACTTAGGTGAAGGAACTTTAGACTTGGGTTAAGGTATATGTCAGGTGGTGCTACTATAGCGTGCGGTCTACAAAGATCTCTTCAGTCTAACCTAACGTAACCTAACGTAACCTAACGTAACCTAACCTAACCTAACCTAACCTAACCTAACCTAACCTAACCTAACCTAAATATCTTGTAGACCGCATGCTATAGTAGTACCATGTCAGGTTACACTAAGTTCAATTTAGCTTCTGGTTAAGTTGGGTTAGGTTAAGTTAGGTGAGATAAGCTTAATCAACAGGACAAAGACACACCTCAACGCCTCTCAAACAATGGATCGTTTTTCTCACCCGCGATGAAAACAAAATGTGGGCGATACAAATTATATTTTTTGGTTAACTCTACACATCCGGTCAAACGTGTCGTACATACTGGTGAAACAGATCTTTCGCCTCTGTTTCCTCTGTATTTAGATGGTTATCATTGTGATATATTATCATTGTTTCAGTATCTGTACCTTGTGTCTTTATCTATATCTTACATGTGAGTTTGTTATTTGGTCTGTAACTTGAACTCTGCAACATAATTTAGGAACTTCACTCACATACATTTGCACTGGCTTACTGTCCAGACCAAATTCACAAAACTTTACAGCTGTAAGTCTTGGTGTACAATGTACAGTGGTTAATAATCCTCAATCAAAGAAGCTAAAACATAAAGACCTTATTGCCTATGGGCCAGTAAGCCAGGACGGCTGCAAAGGCTGACATCGTCCAAAACAGACTTAAGCAAACTCGGGAGAGAAAGTTGTCTGCTCGTCGTTCAGCACTGGTCCCGTTGTGTGCACTATTAGCCCGCGGCGTCAAGATCATTGTCCACCACTTCACGGCCGAGTCCTTGCCGAGACACAAGGAGACGCACCATGTACAGTTGTAACTATTAAGTACAGTGGAGAGAAACGTAACTTGTTACAAGTGGGAAAATGCCTGCCGCCATTCTGGGGTGAAAACGTTGAGAGTATGCATTACAGAGGCGTGTTTAACCCAGGTGCAATCTGCACAACGCACCGCGAAGGGTCCTTAAGTATTGAATTTAAAAAATCATTGAAATGGGAGGATGAGTGTTGTCCTTTGAAACACACCTCTGGTATGTAAGGATACATACACATTGGGCCTTCTACAGGTTTCCCAAAGAGAACGAAAGGTTTGTATACATTCTAGGCTCATTGTGGGTTGTAACTTTCACCTTAGTTGCTAGGATCTCTGTGCCGCTCCATCATTTCGCGGTTTTCCTGACTCCAAACGAACTTGTAAATCCTTTACGTTTCCGGTTCTAACGCTGACTGCAGTGCATGTATTGAGGAGAGTCTAAGATGAGAGCCACGTACCCACTAGTGGTGAGAGCTGGACAACCTACTGCGAGAACTAGATAGCCTGAGATGAGAAACAGACTGCCCAGGGAGAGCCTACAGTATATTGTACATCTTAAAACTGATGACACGATCGGTCTTCCTGTAAAGAACTCATGGCAGTGTACTGTACTAGGAAAAATCTCTCCTTGAGGCTCAAACTTTGTTCTGTCTCTGTCTCGGGTTGATGACATGATGATAACACATGTTCTCTCCCCATTGAGACAGTGCGTCCAGGAACAGTGACAACTAAGACACAGATATTATATTTTAACCAAACTTATTATTTAGATATAACCCCCCCCCGCCAAATAAAAAGAAAGAAAAAAGCAGGAGTTCAATAATCAACCTTTTTGAGTATTTAATACAACACTATTTGACAAGGATTAAATAATCAGTATTTTATGTCATTATTACAGAGTTAAGGCGTGGTGGGGGGGACCTGGCCACTTGTTCTATCAATTTTGTCTGAATGTCAATTTTAACATTGTTCTTGCCCGTCTTGAAATGCATAGAGCTCTCAGTCGCGCGCGCGCGTGTGTGTGTGTGTGTGTGTGTGTGTGTGTGTGTGTGTGTGTGTGTGTGTGTGTGTGTGTGTGACGTCACGACCGTAAAACTTCATGCAACGATTATGTTCTTTCCCCGAGGCCCACGAATGGCTGCTACGCCTAAGCATTATTGACGGCACAGAACACTAACCTAACCTAGCCTAGCCTAAAATCGCTAAGGTATAATTAGTTCTTGCTGTCCTAAACGCCCTCGGTGCCATCTTCACTCCGGGCAAACAAGAATTACCGACACTTGCACAGAGCAGATTAAAAATAGTCATACTAAACTGAAACGACATCCAGTACAGTATATGCAAGTCCACACGCACAGGGCCATCAGTAATACGTATTCTCAGATCTCCGAGTATTCATTCACATACAACTACCGGCATGTGTATAGATAAAGCACTGCTAACACTGCCTTTTTTTAATCAGAGAACTACAGAAGCTTATGTGAGAGGCTACAAGCATGCATTTTTAATTTCATTGTGCGGGATGGATCAAGGGGCCCAGAAACTTCAAATAAGGAATGGATAACAGAGGGGTGGTAAAGGTGTGAACAGTGACATGAACAACTTAAAACAACATGTAATGTGTTCATAACACAACTTACACGAACAGTATCCACATTAATTCACAACATTTCAAGACAATTCATCTTATTCAGAATTGTCTCAACTAAATTATTCATAACAGTAAACATTAAATAGCCTATATTCACTATGTGTCCGGACCGATAGTCCTGCTGGGAGTACCTCACTAAGGTGAGTTATAAACGCCTGCCAGGAGAACATTCGCTTATAATTGTCACACGTGTTTTGAGTTCCTTTATGGCTGTGGTCGTCAGTCTGCAAGTGAAATGAGTCGTCTTCCTCCACATATGACCGGCCTCCAGCTCGCTGTACCCAAGAATGTATGTTAATGACACACACTATAGCCAGCGACGGCGCACCGCTGTAGAAACCCGTCCAACATTCTTCTTCGCTCAACTATCCAAGTCACCCACTGTTTTCTACTCATGATCAATATATCAGACGAAGCGAACGGATTAATTAAAACGACGCTAATAAGGCAACATCTCTCCTTTTACTTTTCTTGATTGCGAACAACTATGTCGGTGACGTTTCACCAGAAGGCCAGGTGTACAAAGACCTTCACCCCGTGGTTCAAACTAACGAGAAGGATGGCACAGTTCCTTAACAGAGCTGGTCGTGAGAAGGTAATGACTGTACTGTTTGCCAGCCATTTACTGGTATTATCTTGACAGCGTGGAGGAGAAGGTCGTGTATGGGTGGGTGGGGACCAAGAGACAGCTGCCACACACACAACCTTCGCCTTTGACATTTCCCAAGGGTCACGGTGACCGAGCACACCCGCACACTATCTAGCACAGTACAGTGGTCCCCAATTGTAGTTCGGCCCCGGAACCATATTATGGAGACCACAAGGGTTTATTAGAAAATTGTGGATTAGTGGGGATCCTTTTTAAGAGTGAAATTAGTGAAAATATGTAATAACTTGATACAACTGCCGTGTACAGGACGCGTGTATTTACCCCAGACCGGTCCCAGAGAGAGAGAGAGAGAGCCAGCCTTCCCACTGGGGTAAGTACACACGTCATGTCCACGTGTAAATGTAAAAAGTATGTAACTGGTAACAGTAAGACGTGTAAAACTGCAAATACCTGTACAGTATAAATGAATTTTTTTGTTCTTGAATGTAGATCCAAAGTTCTGGCGCCCTCCACTATATTTACGATGATAAATGTGGCCCAGAGCCTATAAAAGGTTGGGGCCACTGCTCTAGTGTATAAAAGCAAAAGCACGATTGACACATATGTGAAATACACACACACACACACACACACACACACACACACACACACACACA